GCTCGGGCATCGAAGGATTTTGCCTCAAGCAGCCACCCCTCACTGGCCAGCAAGGCACAGCCCGATGTACAGGGCTTCTCTGCATCCTCGGCTGGGGCTTCTCTGGGCCAAGAGAAGTTTCATGCGGCACAGGTAGTGTGAATGTAGCAGACGTGGGGACACTCTTACCTCCCCAAGACCTTCTTGCCCAGGGCCCTGGCTGGGAGTTCAGGCAAGGCTCAGCAAACAGTCCAGGTTTAGGGATAGGTATAGGGATAGTGTTAGGCTTGGGGGAGAGACAGAGCCAAGGTCTTGCTCTGGAGTGGCATGTTTCCTTGTTCTTGATTACTAGAGCTCTTTTTCTCTGCTCAGTACTTTTCCTGTTGACGGGACGTGGAGGCTTCCTTGGTGTCCCAGTGCTCTGTGGACACAGGCTGCTGCTCTGAGATGCAGCTGCCTCCGCTCGCTCAGTAAGTTGCGAGGAGGTGCCTGAATGACGCTCAGTATTTGGGCTGCCCTGGTGCCATCTCCTCTGCATCCGACACTCCTCACCTGCAAGGCCAGGTGGGCATTTGCTAGGTACTGGGCTGCCAAAGGGCTCTTCAGGTGCCCAGGGGGTAGAAGGCAGGAGTGGGGCCCAGCTGCTGTCTCTCCCTGGGGAGCTCTGCACTCACATTGCCCATGCTGCTCCAGCTGCCAGTGGGGAATTCCTGCAGGGAATTTTGCCAGCCATGCCAGGGAGCCGCCCTGGGCCTGGAGGCGGTGCGAGGCAGCACTCAGCGTGAGCTCGTGCAAGGACAGGACAGCCATGCAGGCACCCGGCTCTCACCCCAAGTCGAGTGTGAGCATCCCAGCCAAGCTCAGCCTAGTGGCCCTCAGGGTCATGTGCAGAGCACTGCAACTGCCCTCCAGTTTCATTAGGTAATTCTTGCAGGGTTAGGGCCCAAACCGTCTCAGGACTATGTTGCTCGTGTGGCCCCTTTTCATATGATTCTTCACGTTGCCTGCAGTCCCCATTCATTGCACCTTGCTACAGCCCCAACAAAGCCAAGGTCCTGCCGGGTGGAGGTTGCAGGCAGCCCTGGTTGGTGTCACTGCATGCAGGGCTGCTGCCCAGGCTCCTGCCCCTGCTCCGCTGGTGTGCAAGGCGGGCAGGAAGGGGTCAGGGCCTGGCTGCAAGGACTCCAGCTGTCCTAGCTGTCATATGCTACTTACATTAGGGGAAGAGTGCTATGAATATGCTGTATCCCACCTCCAAGAGAGGAGGGTGACTCAGATTCATAAATCCCTTTGGTATGGATTAAGCTGAAACAACACTCACAGAATCACAGAGTGGTTGAGGTTGGAAGGGACCTCTGGAGATCATCTAGTCCAACCCCCCTGCTCCAGCAGGGACACGCAGAGCACAGGGCACAGTGCAGCATCCAGGCGGGTTTGAAAGATCTCCAGAGAAGGAGACTCCACAGCCTCCCTGGGCAGCCTGTGCCAGGGCTCTGCCACCCTCACAGCAAAGAAGTTCTTCCTCACATCGAGATGGAACTGCCTGTGTTGCAATCCATACCCATTGCCCCTTGTCCTGTCATGGGCCACCATTAAGAAAAGTTTGGCCCCCTTCTCCTTACATTCTCCACTCAGGTTTTTGTACATGGTTGTCAGATATCCTCTCAGTCTTCTCTTCTCCAGGCTAAACAGACCCAACTCACTCAGTCTCTCCTCATACGAGAGATGCTCCAGTCAGTTAATCAACATTGTCTCTCTACGCTGGACCCTCGCTAGAAGCTCTTGCACTGCGGAGCCCAGAACGCCAGGTTGGGCCTCATCAGAGCTGAGGAGCAGGGCAGGATCCCCTCCCTTGCCCTGCTGGCAACACTCCTTTTGCACATTCAGGATCTCTTGGTGGCTTTGCCTTCCATGGAGTTGTTCCATGTCCCCTTCCATCTGTGTAAACCTTTGCCATACAGTGTCCTTTGGCGAGGGGCCTCACAGCTTAGTTACCTTTTATACAAGGTAATTTCTCCCTCTGTCTTACTTTGGCCTTCAGGCTTATGAGCTTCATTTGATACCCCACAGCTCTTGCATGGTGAGAAAGACTGAACAATCTCGAGCCAGGCTTGCTGCTCATGATCATATTCTCTCATCATATTTATTCTGCTTCTCTTAAGCTTCTCTTTTCCAGACCAGGGCGTCCTAGCTCATTTAGTTCGTGCTCTAGCTGGTTCATGATGTACAAATGCCACAGTCAAGCTGACGTCCTTCTCCACACTCCTTTCATGATGCACAGAAAATCAGCTATTCACAGGGGAGGTATTAGCTAGCGGACTTGCAGGAGAAGAAGAAACATGTTTGTGTATGAGATACGTGCACATACATGCTAAACACACTCAGTATATGTAGCACATGGTGACCTCCACTTTTTTTTTTTTTTTTTTTTTTTTGCATAGGCCCTGACCCCCCCAATAACTCTCTAAGCATGATCACTAATACTCCCAATGTTTAATTTACTCTGTTTAAAAAATAGTATCTTTTCCCCTTAACTGACATGCTGACGCCTTGTTCTGGTGACTTGGTAACATTTTGAGCTCACAACAGAATGAAAGAGAACCAGAGATTTTTTTGTTGAAATACTAAAACAGGCCAAACTCACCGCTGTTCTTGTGACAGTCTATTTTAAGCTCTTCTGAGCTGAAGGATCATTAATATTTCAGTCTGACTTATTTAAAATTCAAATGTAGCCTTCTAAACTTTGCTCCGTGCAATATATTGAGAGTATGAATGCAATTATAAGGTTTTGGTGTCTCCCTTTCTATTACATAAGAAAATAGTTAATGAAGGAGGAAATTGAGTTACACTGAAATTTACGTTTTGGAGTACATGTGCATTTCATGTCTTTAGCAAATTTAAAAATGCTACCAATGAAAAAAAAAAAGGACAAAAAAACCCCAAAAGCACTAGCTTCACAACACTCCTGATTTATTGGTATGTATTTTAAAGATTTGAACAGATTATTTTTACTTCAAATGTTCCTTTGTATATGTGGATATATCTTTAGCAAAGCTCTTCATCACAGAAATGTAGAAATGACACTGTGATTACAAAGCCTTTGTCTGCTGCAATTAAGTCTTTTACTAGAAGTCTTTTATTAGAATTTTATTTATTAGACAGTTTTCTGTCCATTAAAAAAGGAGAGGAACTCACTTCAGAATATGATAGAGCTTTGTATTGTGTTTAAGATAGAGTCGTGCATGACAATGTGCATAACAATTTGGAAATGAGTGGTTCTGGACTCACTCATTTCACTGCGAGGAGGAGTTAGGCCAGTAAAAACAGTTTGCCTTGTAGTCTGGCATGATTGAACGAGACCAGCATATGTATTTGTTACTGGGATACTAAATCATTCCACACACCTGAAAACCTGTGACATTGTCTAGTGGTACCCTGCAATATACTCCCTAAGATAATTAAAATCAGATTTGCTTCTTTCCTTTTTTCCTGCGCAGCCTTCTTTAAGACGGTGCGTGCTATTCTAATAAGAATCCGGTTTGGCCTTCACACTGGAGATGCAATCTCCACGCCAGTGATTTTTTTCCAGGACACATGTTCCCCGGAGATTCCTGCCTTGTGGAGCAGCCCGTGGTCACTGCAGGCTTGAGAGCGGACGAGGAGAGCTGGCTTCAAATGCAGCAGCTTGCAGAGGGAGCGGAAGGAGCACAGAGAAGTACAGCACGTGGGAGTCCCAGAGGCAGCACAGCTCCTAGCACGTTCTGAGGGAGCTGAGAAACGATTAGGAACAACATTCCGAATTCAGAGGACACTTTCTTACTGAGTGGAGAAACGAACAGCAGAAGCAGGGAAAGACACTCATGGGCTGTATCAATACGAGCTCAAGGCGACTGCAAAGCAGCATGAGGGAATGATGCCCTGGGAAAAAGACAGAGATTTGTGTCAACCGTTTCCAGGATGATTCTTGGGATTTCTCACGTTCAAGAGAAACTAGCTTGTAAATTCCTTGTAAAAACTTAAAATTACCTTCCTGTCCAATTGCTTAAAGGAAAAAGTGTTTTGGTCATCATCCTTTCTAATCTGGTGCCTTTGTGAGAGGGACAGGGATGTATTTATAGGACATGTCATGCAGATTGTTTCAAGCTGCTGTATGTTGCCCATTCCCAGCTTGCTCCCATGGCACATAGGACAGCTACAGGCAAAATGACTTCTGCTCCACTCCCTTTGGCACAGCTTTGCTCCCAGCACCAAGAACTGAGGCGTGTGGATTTTTCACGCACTGGAATCAGATGTTATTTTCAAAAAGCAGCAAGAGACACTTCCCAAAACTGTTTGTTCTTCATATTTTAAGTAGTTGATAGTTTTTTTTTTTTTTCCCCAGCGGCTTTTGTATCAGAACTTCCCTACATCTTTACTACACTATTCTCATTCATTCTCACTTTCATAAAGTCTAAGTTGAGAATCCAACAAGAAAAGATGTTAGCATCCATCTTACCAGCATCCTGAAAATGTTCACAGAGCCAGCTCATCCCTGCCTCCTAGATCAGGATCCCAACACTTGTGCTCTCAGCCCTACCCACCTTCTGCTTCACATTGTTCCTTATCCTGACCTGTGAATAAAGCACAAGGACCTCTCCGGAGATTAAGCAATCATCGGAAAACAATTTGCACCAAGCAGGGGGAAGCTACAAAGAAAAAAGCACATACGCAAATTAAAACAAACTTGCAGTTGCATTTTATTTAATCAATGAAAATCTACCTTAAAAACATAAAATCAAATTTGGTAACCCAGTACATTGGATCAGAGAAAGCTTCAAGCTTTTAAGCATAAGCCAGAAGTCACAGTCTCAAGTGAGAGTCTCAGAGGCCAAAGCAACACACCGGAAGGCAGGAGCGTCTTCACGAGGAGACGCGCTCCTTGCACCACTAGCATGGTTTCAGGTGCAGGATTTTTTCAGCTGTCAGCTGCAATAAGAAGCATTTCTATTTGCTTTATAGTTATGTTTGTTGCATTGCTTACCTAGGCCCTGGATTAATGAAGGTTACAAGCAAGTTTCAGCACTTGCCTGTCCAATTACTACCAACAGACAATTTACATTGTGATAAAGCTGGCTTTATTTAAATGAGGTTCAGACAAAAATTAACTTTACATATTATTAACAGCTTTGGAACTACAAACATAAGAATAGGGATTACACAGGTCATGCTACTGTTATTTCATTTTACCTGCTGCAGTTATTGCAATATGGCTTAACGTACATAGGAATACAGTTTGTACAAGTTCAGCCAAGTTTGCACTTGTGAGGTGTTATTAAGAGCACAGTTAATTTGCAAGCCAACTTAACCCGTGGAAACTGCCAGAGATCGTTGGAGTTGCCCAAAGCTAAGGGGGAAAGCTGCCGCTAACGCTGGACAAAGATGGGCTGGATTGTTTGAAACCACATTGTTCGGCGTTAAATATTTATATCATCTGCTTTGAGGTAAGGAGAAATCTCCGGGTGCTTCCCCAGAGGGCAGCACCAGGTGGTGCAGTCACACCAGTGCAACGGGTCCCGTCGCTTGCTGTGCGCAGCCTGGGGGACAGGCGGCCACCCACCGGGACAAGGGCCTGGCTACACTGCAAGCTGACTTTAAAATAAATTACTACACAGGTAGGATAGTGAAGCTGTTGTTCAATGTGATGGGCATCAGTCTCACAGAGCGCGCTCTGTAGCCTTCGCTTCAGAAATCAGGATGGAAAGTAGTGACTGGCACCCCCTTTGTCTGACTTCAATGTAAACAACAGAAGTGCGCGCGCGCTCCCGGCGGGGGTGGCCATCCCACCACTGTCGGGCTCGGGCCTTCTGCCTGGCTTTAAATCCCCTGGCTTGTTCTGTGGGCTGCTCTCAATCCAACCCACCTTACATCCACCTTGCGTTAAATGAGTTTGAAATGCTCGGCACCCCGAGGTCTCCTTCCTCCCTTCGCAGTCCCAGGCACACTTCTTCATCAAGCCCTCACCCTCCTTCCTGCTCCTCCCACAGGGAAGACAGGGAATTGCTATGAGCAGGGAGGATCTCAGGAAATGCCCTGGTGGGAAAGCGGTTCAGGCACGTGATGTATGCAGGTTGTTTGGTAGAGGGGGCAGTGGGAGGAGGGCCTTGGGGCTGGATGAGGAAGTGCCTACAACAGAGCGGACTCTGGGACACTCCTGGGTGCGAGTCTGGACGGTTCTCAGAAACCCGGAGAGTGGAGACGACTTTGCTATGGCAGTGGGCAGATCTGCCACAAGTTAGGGCTCTACTTTCATCTTTCAACAGATCACAGTCTACGTTAAAATCAGACCTGGGATTAGGATATACATATAAATACTCAAAGCATGACAGCCAAGTTTTAGAGGGGTTTTAGGTGGGGAAAACCTGGAACAATAAATAGGAAAGTACATGTTAGCGGCTTCCTCTCCAATGGTATCCATTTTGTCTCCAGGCTACACTACAAAGTTCTTTCAAGGGTCTAAAAGGTACAGAAATATCATACCTCTACATCAAAATCAGAACTGGGTTTAAGACATACATATAAATATTCAACACATTACAGTCCAGTTCTGGAAACCTGAAGTCTGGAACAACGGAAGAAGGGTAGCCTCAACCTCCTCCTCTGAGGCCACCCTGTGGAAGTTACTTCTGACTAACACAGGCCTGCCCAAGCACCAGCAAGGACGGCAAGGGCAATCTTTTCACCTGACAGGGATTGAGAGGCAGAAATCTCCAGCATCTTGCTCGAGAATTTGTGCGTGTTCCAGTTCCTGCTGTTCAACAAGGAAACATGAACTAGTCAGCCAGAAGTTTCACATGTTCTCATCATTCAGCTCTCCTCTCCCTTCATCTCCTCAGCCAAGCAGCACTTATGGCCTCGTGGTGGATTAAATCAAGGCAGCTACGGAAGATGAGTGCACTAAGGGAGACTGCAGGGAGAAGGTAAGGGATTCAGGTATAAATGAAGGGACTGAAGGAGACAGGAGACATCCTAAGTGAAGATATGGCAATAACTGTGGAACGATTTTTAGTGGTCTGCCCATTCACTTAGTTGCACATCTCCAGTCTAAATGGTACATTTGGGGCAAAGGCAACTGACCTTTGCATGGGATACACGTGTGAACATACCCAACTTTGAAGGCATTGTTTTTAATAGAAATGACAAAAAAGTGAAGTCTTTAGAAGAGCAGCTGTTAACATCCAAGAATAAAGGGTGGTGAATAAAGCTCCTGGCTCAGCCACAGGATTGTCAGTTGTTCTCTAAGACTGGCATCTCTCCAAATGCCACAGGGATGCTTAGCACATCTGAAAAAAAAGAAGACGGTAACGAAGTTTTATTAACGATAATTTCATTTCTCAAGGATATCACAGCATCAGTCTTAAGTTGTTTGCAGAAATGGAAAGGGTCACACAACTTAATTACGCAAGAATAATAAATGGCCAAAGGAGAGTATATGAGGCACTCCTGATTTACAGTGGAAGACGCCAATCAGGCCTTTCAAATTTCCAAGTCTGCTTTGTTAGAAAGTAAATATGCAGATTAAACATCACAGTCACCTGTATGGAATGTGTTTTGGATAGCTAAGAAAATTGTAAATTTATTTTCCACCTCCTAGAAACTCCTTAAACTACAGGCCAGAGGTGAAGCTGAAGGCAGAGACCATTAAAGAGATGGGTAATGGTGCCCCTCATAAAAGAGGGAATAACGTGCTGTGTGGCCAGGAAAGTCAGTTAAAAAAAAAAAAAAAGACTACTGGTTAAACCAAAGAGCAATCCTGGCCATAATCTCTGTGGCTAGTTTAGAATGAAAATAAGAGACATGAGCTCTACACAGCTCAGAATTGCTCTGGAAAGGGAAAGAAGTTGCCTGCTAGAAACGCTGCTTACATTTGAAGCCTCGGGAGCCAGTGAGTTCAGGCTCTGCGGATGATGGCAAGGTGCACCCTCCTGGCTACAAACACCCTCTGGCTCTGGGGTCGGTGTTTTCACATCTTCCACTGACAGGGTATGTTGCTCGTCCTTCTCTTCTATCTGTGTTTGCTGAACTGTGTTTTGGTCTGGGATTTCCAGAACCTGCCCCAGCTCTTTTTCCTTTAATTTTGGTGGGTGTGTGTCAAGGGGTTCTTTGGTTGAATCTTTTGAAGTACCTATTCCTACTGTGGAATTTGGAAGTGTTGCACTTTCTCCTGAATCATCTTGAGGGCTAACCATAACTTCTAGTGAATTCTCACTTTTTCCTTCTTTAGGTGCATGAGAAAGGAGCAGCTTATCTTTTGCCTGTTCCACACTCGCATGAATTTCTGCAGACTCTCCTAAGGGGGAATGTTTCGCTGTTGTTGGCTGCTGGAGCTCTTCATCACTAATTGGGGTTTCTTCCTCTTTGACAGGCAGGTGATTCCCCAGCGCCGTTTCCAGAAATGCAGGTACCCGGCTGCTGCCGGGCTGGCTCCCGCCCGCGCGCTCCGCGTGCTGCCCTGACTCGGCTGCCGCTGTCTCCTCCGGCTCTGCGAGTCTGTCAACAGCCGTCTGGATGGCGTTCAATACAATTTCTGTGCTTTGGCTTTCCAAGGCCACAGACTGAACGATGTCTTTCTCCAGCTGAGGGTGGTCGAGAGAAGGACTTTTCTTGGAAGCAGCAACACTGGCTTCAGGGTGTCCAAATTCCTGGGGCATCTCTTGCTTCTGCTCTGGAATTGCCTTCAGAGGAACAGGAGGTGCTTGAGGGTGAGGTGCTTCTGCACCATCAAGCTCTGCAGTCTCAGGGCCCGAATGGTCAACAGCAGCAGCTGGGACTTCTTCAGCAGCCACTTGCCTGGGGCTGGTTGCCAGCGGCTCTATCGCTTCAGCTGCTGGGTCTGGGAGTGTCACAGGGACAGGCTCGGCGGGGACAGGCTCTTCAGGCTCACGAGTGGGTGCTGCAACAGACCCCTGCGGTGGCTCCAGGCTTCCAGCTCCAGGGTCGGCTGAGCCAGGGCCTTCCGCAGGCCCAGCTGAAGGCTCTTGCTGCACAGTGTGAGAGTAACATCCATCATCGCTCACAGATTCCAGTGTGTCAGAGTCACCTGCACCATCGGGTGCTCCCACCAGTCGCTCCCCTTTGCTTTCTTCCCTCTGCACATCCTCACAGCTTGAGGTTTCTGCAAGTTCTTTTTCTGCTTCCGCTGGCATTCCTGCAGCGACGCTCCTTGGGGTTTCACACCCCTTCGGACTGCTGCCAGACAGGACACTGCTCCCCTCGCCCGTGGCTTCCATGCCCGTCAGTGCTAAGGCAGATAGGTCTTCTCCTTCAAGCTGTGTGGGGGCTGCAGAGACAGGGCCACACGAGTCCGTGCTGAGGACAGCACCTTCCATTTTGTCATCCTTAGTGTTTTCACTCTGGGAGAGGGCTGCAGTTTTGAGTTCAGCATCTTGTAAGGGTCCGCATTGGGTCTCGTCACTCTGAGAGCGCACTTCCCCTGGGGGTCTTTCTGGGCATTTGGGCTTAAGGACAGGCCCAGAGTCCTCTGCAGAGACCTGCTCAGCAGGCCCTTCGCTCACACTCTGCCCGGACACTGCAGCTGCTTCGGAGCCAGTTGTTTCTGTGGGAAGGGCAGGGCCTTGTGTCTCCCTCTGCTCTGGGAGCTCGGCAGTGGGGACCTGGGTGGCCTGCACTGCCTCCTCTCCCTGCGGAGGTGCCTCGCCAGGAGTGCCCTTAGTCCAAGCTTGGTCCGGTGAGCCCAAGGCAGGAGTTGTCTCTTCTCCCTCTGGCGTGCCAGGGACAGCAACAGCAGCCGCTCCTGTGTCCTCTAGGCCCTTGGAGGAGACATCACCCTCACCTGCAAGCTGCACAACGGGCACTTCACTTGCAGTGCCTGCAGGACCCAAGGCAGAGGCATCACCTGCATCCATGTTTTGCACCTGAGGAGAACAGGAACAAAAATATGAAAGAAAGGCACAAGTGAAGAGTGATTTGGAATATTCTGCACGCAAAAGCACCAGAATAAATAAACAAGACGGTCTGGGCTGTAATGGCATGTGTTGATGACATCAAGATAAGCTGATCAAGATCCCAGCACATTGGTGTGTAGTTTCATAGGGCACACAGCTCAGGCAACAAAGGGCCTGCTCAAAAGCAGGTACAGCTGACACCACATAAACCAAAGACCAAACCGTTATGAAAGGGGGAAAGTGAGGAAGAGGGGAGCAGCTCATGAGCCACCATCACTCCTGCACCTTTAAAGCCACAGGCAGTGGTGCCACTTCTTGCCTTGCAGAGGCACAATCACCCACAATCGCACGTGTGCCCGAGATTAAAACTTCAATCTGAGATGGAAGGTGCCATGTACATGCAGCATTTTTTTTCTTACAATATCTTCAATAACATTAATCAGTGCAGAAGTCTTAATGACGTTTGTTTCTGCACGTTCAGATTCAAGTACACTACCATCCACCTCCTACTGGAAGAATTTTATGCATCTCACTCTGCACAAAAGTCTCAGTGGTAGCTGCTTTCAAACATTTTTGAATCTGTCTCACAGAAAGAAACTTCAATTCCATCATTCTGTAAAACGAAGGTCCTTGAAAACAATTTTGCTAGAGCCTGCTTTTGAATTAGCTCTGATGTCTAACACTCACTTAATTTTTTGGAGACATCGACCTTCGTGTTAAGTGTAATACTTACTGCAGCCTCCACTCCTGGAGTATGTTCATCTCTCATCTCATCTCCTGTCAGCTCAGTTAAGGGCAATTTGTCTTGTTCTGAAGATTCCTGCTTTAGTACTGGCTCTTCCTTGGAAGCGACTATTTTGCTGCTGTGAAAGTCTTTGTCTTCTGATGAAGGTTCTTCTGTTGTTCTCTGCAATTCAGGTGCTTCCTCATGATCATCTACAACTGCTTTTTCATGCATCTGCCACTGGCTTTCATCTCTTGATATATCTACACTTTCAAGTTTTTCTGTGCTCTCTTGTACTGCAGCAGGTATTTCACCTCTCTCCAAACCTTCCTGTAGAACTTCTTCATGTCTATCTTCAGCCTGAGTGCTCCTTGCACTTCCCGGGGCTTGGATATCATCCTCCTTGTGTCCTCCAGTTTTCAAGGACTGTTCAGCCACAAGAATTTCCTCATCTAGTACTTTCACATCTTCAGCATCATCTTTCCTTTCTGACTCAATTTCTTGCCCTGTCTGAGTTACAGTTGCTTCCACGGTTCTCTCACTAGCCAGCTGCACTACCTCCGATGACCTTACTCTTTCAGCAACTTCCTGAAGAACTTCTTGCGTCTGTCTCGCTAATTCTCTCAAGTTTTGCTCAGTAGCCTCCACTTCCTGTACAGGCGTAACTTCTTCTGTAGTATCAGGGGTTTCGGACAACCGTGAAACAGCAGAAACCATCTCGGTTGTCTCCTCAGCAATGGATACTTCCACTGTTTCTTCAGCACAGTGAGGTTCCACAGTCTCCTCCAGAGCTGTCACGGCTTCCGAGGATAGCTCTGGCTCACTTGCTGTGGTATCATCACTTGTATCCCTTCTCACCTCTGGCACGGTCTTGGCATCCACAACTGCTTCTTCTGCAACAGCTTCTGATTCACATTTTTGTTCAGTTTCTTTCTCTTCTTCTTCTTCTGCTTGCTCAATGCTCTCCAGCACAGCAGCAGAGATCCAGGACGGGGACCTTTCTTCAATACTGGTAACTGCCCTTTCTCCTTCCACAACAGTAACACTAACTGCATGGACAAGCCCTTCAGTAGCCTGCTCAGCTTTTACCATCTCTTCTAGCTTTTCTGCACTTTCTTTCTCTGAGGCTGGTTCTCTTTTCGCTTCAGCATCTTTTACTTGCTGGGCTTCTAATTTCTCTTGCTCTGCTGCTTCATATTCAGATAAAGGAACAACAGCTGGAACATCAGAATCTTCTTCAGTTGTTTCTGTCATGTCTTCTCTTGCTTGTTTAAGAAGAGATGGTTCTGGTTTCCCATCTGACTTTTTCTTCCTACGGCCAGGCATCAGTTTTCTAAATGGAACCCAGGATTCATCTTTTCCTGGCTCACCATCTGAGGTTGAGTGCTCCAGGCTAGATCCCACGACAGAGTCTTCAGTTCTCTCTTCCATTCTGGTTTTGGATTTCCTTCTTGGAGTGACTAACCTTTTAAATGATTCCCACGTTGAAATGCCTTCACCTTCAGATGGGCTTCCAGCTTGTTCAGGGGAGGAATTTCCTTGTCCTTGATCACTCTCCTGAGAGCTAGTAAGAACTGCATCTGTTGCCGTTTCTTTGCTTTGTCCAGATTCCTCTATTTTTTGGCCTTCTTGACCAACCTTATGTTCAGTTTCTTCATCAGATGATGATGATTTCCTGGCTCTTTTCTTTGAAGAACCTACACATATAAAAGCTTCCCAGGACACGGAGGTGTCAACCTTTCTTTTGGGCTCTTCAGTGACTTTCTCTTGTTTCTGGTCCATCCCATTTTCTTTTAATTCTCTCTGATTTTCATCAACTGCATTTTCAGTTGTAGACATTGGAGCACTCTTTGTCTTATCAATCTCTTCTTCTTTATCACTTTCAGAAGGTCTTCTGACACGTTTCTTGGGAGTCACCATCTTTTTAAATGATGCCCACGGTGTAACACTTTCTCTTTTTCTCTCCATATCTGAAATTGCAGCATCTTCATTTTCAGTGGCCTGCATCCCATCTGCAGGCTTTTCCAAAGAAGGAATCTCATTTAATTCCTCGGGAGAAGAAGCGGAACTTTCTGCCTTTTGCTCTTCTGGGCTATCTGGGGAATCTGACAAGTGCTGAATTTGTTCTCCCTGTTCTCCTAACTTAGATTCCTCTCTCCTGCCTTTATGCTTCTTTCCAGACAGTTTTTTTAATCCAGTACCTGTAAAGAGTTTCTTTAAAGGGCTGCCCTGTAGTTTAGTTTTTTCCTGAGAAGACAGTAGTTCAGCTTCACTTGTGATACCTTCTGCAGGCCTCCTTTCTGCTGCCTCCTCAGGAGACACTTGTGTAGTTACCTCAGTCGGTTTGATATCATCTGTCACAACTATGCCTGCCTGGCCCTGGGGACCTTCATCAGTGGGTTTGGTTGGCTGTTGGTCACCCTCCGTGTCAAATGAATGTTCAGAAGTGGAAAAAGTCTTTGCTTTGCCTCCTTTCTTCTCCACAGCTGTGTCATGAGCTTCTTCTGGTGTTTCTGCCTTTCCATTGAGGTCTTCTGTTGCAGGTGAAATTACTGATTCTGCTTTCTGTGTTTTTTCAACTGTTTCTTCCTTCAGTGGAGCTAAGGATTCAGGCTTATTCTCTGCTGTTTCTTCAGATTTTTTTAATTCTTCACCACAACTTTCAACTGCTGATAAAGAATCTGCTTCAAGTTTCTCTCCAGAGGATTTTTCAGTTGTGTCATTTACTTCCCATGTCTCTGTTGATTCCAGTTTTCCTTCCACAGTTAAAACTTCTGTTGTTTTCAGTTCTCTACTTGCACTCTCAGTTAAAGCACTAAGAACAGGCTCAGTAGAACATGTTATCACTGTCACCTCATTTCCTTTTTCTCCTTCCTTTGTTTCTTCTGAGCTTTCCACTAACCTATTTTCTTGATCTTCAGCTTTTACTTCTTCCCCATTCGCTTTAACAACTGCTGCTTCTATAACCTCGTCGTGGCCCTGTCTGTCATGCCCTGTTAGCTCTTCTTTCTTACTCGCTTCAACTGTTACAGCTGCCATAGTCTTTTTTGATTCCTGCTTTTCATCTTCAGTTTGCTCCTTCTCATGTATTTCAACAGTTACTGCTGCGACAATTTTCTCTTCATCTTGACTCTTGTCCTCAGATTTCTCTTCCTTTTCAGTGGCTTCAGCTGTTAATGCTGCCTCCTGTTTTTCTTGGTCCTCTTCTTTCTTAGGAGACTCTAGTTCATCTTCTTTAGGCTTCCTAAAACTCTTCTTTTTCCTAAATCCAGTCCATCCCTGGGAAAAAAATTTCCGCAGTGGTGACGTAGTATCAGTGGCTAAGGCAGCTGACTGAGAAGACAGCTCTTTTGCTTCTGGTGTTTTAGGAGATTCATCCTCTGCGTGTTCATCCTTTGCTGCGTCTTTGGTGTTGTCTTCTGCAGAGAGGGCATCTCCAGGCCCCGGCGTTTCCTCTGGGCTGGCCTCACTTTGATCACCAGCTCCTTCGGTGCCTTCCATTTCCTTTTTTACGGTAAGCAGCTGAACTGGCTCTGATTTTCCTGTCTTTTCCTTCTTAACTGTGAATCTGAAGCCAACAAATTTAAAAACCTTTTTAAAACCCAAATCATAAGACTGTGGCTCAGATGCTTGGTCAACGTCTTCTGCATCTTCTTCCAAAGGTGGCAATTTTTTAGCTATTTCAGGATCCTCTTTTCCGTCATCTAGACCATCCTTGGTGCTCGACTCGGAAGGACTTGTCTCCATAGTTACGGCCTCTTCCTGCAAATTTGCACTGGACTGCTCAGTTTGTCCAACTGTTAAAAAATAACACAAAAAAAATCACATTAAGTTTCCTTGCATTCTTAATTCCCTATTACTTTCTAACTGTACATCTATATCTATTTTCCCTCTTAATGAACATTTCTCAACCATGCAAGTTCTATTACGTGTGTTCCTCTTGTGTGTGCTACAGTTACCACTTCTAAAAGGGCTAGTTCTCAGCTAACCCCGATCTACTAATTTCTTTTCTTCTTCATTTTAGTCCATACAAATTTTTAAAGATTATTTACAAATGCACATTCAGAGCAATAATTCTCTCATTCTTTCTTTCCCTCTGTCATGGGTTTGATGAGAGTTTTTTTTGGACTGTAGAACTGGTACTAAAGATGGTACTAAAATTTCATGTGAGAAGAAAAGCATTGATTTCTGCCGTATCACATATAAACAAATTCATAGAAAAATATCTGTAATTATTTCTGAAGATGATGCTCCATATCCTTTGGATACAAAGGGAGACTTCTAAGAAGGGAGAGAATTTTAAAGATGTATTGACCTAAAATGATGATAAGAAAAGCAGAGCTCGTTATTCAATTCTGCCTCAAATGAACGGCAAGAGGTGATTGAGTTTTTGTGACATTTCCTATTTTTCTGTAAACTTGCAAACACCGAAACAGTTACAGTACCATATATTTATTTTTAAATCAGTAAACTCGGGTCTCTACCCTGCATTCCATGACCGCTATGGCCAGACAGCGACTTCATCCATATCCATTAAAAGTAATGATGTTCATAATGTATAAGGAGGTAGAAATATTAAGTATGTATTGTTAAAAAACCTGTAAAGCTAGAGTAGGCCTCAATTCTCATCCAAGAGTTTTAAACAGATCTCTACAGGCAAAAAGATAGAGAGAAACAAGGATGTCCTGCAAAAGATGAGAAGATAAAAGTCCTATAGCTTATAATCTGAATTACATTAATAATAGTGAATAATAGTACCACCTGATAAGGAACAAAACATACAAAAATAAACCTATGGTTCATGTGAGACCCTGAATGACTCTGCTGTGCAGGACTTGATGGAACGGAAGGGAGACGCAAATGGAAAAGCTCCATGTTGGCAGCAACGTGCTGCGAGAAAGAACAGCCCCTGCCTTCCAGCTGCCCGAGTTCTGCGACTCGCAGAACCACAGAGTGGTTGAGGTTGGAAGGGACCCCTAGAGACCATCTAGTCCAACCTTCCTGCTCCAGGAGGGATACCCAGGGCACAGGTCGGCATCCAGGCGGGTTTGGGAGATCTCCAGAGAAGAAGACTCCACAGCCTCCCTGGGCAGCCTGTGCCAGGGCTCTGGCGCCCTCACCCTGCTGTGTGTTCCCGACTAACACAAGCAAAGCTTTCCATTTTTCCCTCCTAGTTTATTTAAAATGACTTTAATTACTAACTTCAAATTCAGGTAGGGGTCTGACCTCTGAGCGGCACCCAAACTCCTTGCACGTTTTCAAACAATGACCGACGTCCCAATGAGTAATTTGTGAGGGAGCAGAAAAAGAAAAGAAAAATCTTTCTGAAGGATCCAGGAATATTACTCAGTTGGTAATACAGCTCATGCAAACTTCAGGATGCTCCCCAAATAAAAATAAAAATCCTTTTAAGAATACTTCGGACAGTGGCAAGCTAAGGAGGGGAAATAAGATGCAAATAAACCTAGTAAAATAAACCTGTCACTTTTCATTTTAAGATGGTTACCAAAGAAAAACTGTCTGGATTGTCTTATTAACATTATTTGGACCCTAATAAATCAAGTACTATAAAGCTGTATGCTGAGAAGACATAAGGATAACACCAGAGAACCATTTCTGAGTTTTTGTCCATTTATGCTCAGATCCAGAATGAAGGGCACAGTCATTTACACCAAACTATGTAATTTAACAGAAAACCTACTATGACTCACAGCAAACATGTTTTCTGTAAGGGAAGACTGTAATGGAATGGGACCTAGTAAAGTGTCTCCATTTCCAAAGCAAGAGGCAAGACACAGGGCGAGCACATAACGGCTACACAAACTGACAAAGGCCTCATATTCACGACCACCAGCCAAAGGCTTTGGGTTCATTAGACTTAGAAAATGATGCACTCTGTAACAGTCTAAGACACACTCAATACCTGTAAAATACTTCAAAAGAAAGAACCATCATATCAGAGAACACCTAAGGAAACTCGACACCCACAAATCCATGGGCCCTGATGGGATGCACCCCAGAGTGTTGCGGGAACTGGCAGATGTCCTAGCCGAGCCGCTCGCCATCATCTTTGGAAGGTCCCGGAGAACAAGGGAGGTGCCGGAGGACTGGAAGAAAGCCAAAGTCACTCCAGTCTTCAAAAAGGGCAAGAAGGAGGACCCGGGCAACTACAGGCTGGTGAGCCTCACCTCCATCCCTGGGAACGTGATGGAGCAGCTCATCCTGGCTGCTCTCTCCAGACACATGGAGGAGAAGAAGGTGCTCAGGAGTAGCCAGCATGGATTCACCAAGGGGAAATCCTGCTTGACTAACCTGATCGCCTTCTATGAAGGAGTGACTAGCCGGCTAGATGGGGGCAGAGCGGTAGATGTGGTCTACCTGGACTTCAGCAAGGCTTTTGACACTGTCCCTCACAGTATCCTCCTGGGCAAGCTCCGAAGGTGTGGGATAGATGTGTGGACGGGGAGGTGGATTAGGAATTGGCTCGATGGCAGGGTGCACAGAGTGGTTGTCAATGGTGCGGAGTCCAGCTGGAGGCCTGTACTTAGTGGTGTTCCCCAGGGGTCAGTTCTCGGTCCGGTCCTGTTCAACTTATTCATTAACGACCTGGATGAAGGGCTGGAGTGCTCCCTCAGCAAGTTTGCCGACGATACCAAACTGGGTGGAGTAGCTGATAGCCCTGAGGGCTGTGCTGCCATCCAGAGGGACCTGGACAGACTGGAGGACTGGGCGGTGAGAAACCTCATGAAGTTCAACAAGGGCAAGTGCAGGGTCCTGCACTTGGGGAGGAACAACCTCAAACACCAGTACAGGCTGGGGACTGACCTGCTGGAGAGCAGCCCCGCAGAGAGGGACCTGGGCGTCATGGTGGATGACAAGTTGACCATGAGGCAGCAGTGTGCCCTGGTGGCCAAGAAGGCCAACGGGATCCTGGGGTGCATTAAGAAGAGCGTCTCCAGCAGGTCGAGGGAGGTGATCATCCCCCTCTACTCAGCCCTGGTGAGGCCACATCTGGAGTACTGTGTCCAGTTCTGGGCTCCCCAGTACAAGAGGGATGTGGAGCTGCTGGAGAGAGTCCAGCGCAGGGCTACCAGGATGATCAGGGGCCTGGAACATCTGCCCTGTGAGCAAAGGCTGAGGGAGCTGGGTCTGTTCAGCCTGGAGAAGAGAAGGCTGAGGGGGGACCTGATCAGTGTGTATAAATAGCTCAAGGGAGGCAGTGAGGAGGATTACACAGTAATTTGATCTTCCTCGTGATTCAAACAATCATGCTACCTTGCTACCCTTTATTAAATAAATTGAATAAATCACAAAAAAAGGAAGATCTGTAACAAAACAGACAGGGCATTAAGGGATGAACTCTTGGCACTTGGATGGACAACTGCAGCTGAGCTCCGTGCTCCTCCCCTGCACACCCACTCCCACCCAACACATGCAGCGTGTCCACGTGCGGGCTTACTCCAGCATCCCACAACCACAGGAGGGTTGAGGTTGGAAGGGACCCCTAGAGACCATCTAGCCCAGCCCCCTGCTCCAGCATGGACACCCAGAGCACCCAGAGAAGGAGCCTCCACAGCCTCCCTGGGGAGCCTGTTCCAGGGCTCTGTCACCCTCACAGTGAAGAAATTCTTCCTCACATGCAGATGGGACTACACTCCACAGCTGGATTCTTTAATGACATTTTTATTAAGGACATTCTCGCTGCCCAAGCATCGCTAGCACTGGCAGTTTCGAATGCGGCGCGAGCCGTGAGTAACTGCCCCTGGAAAGCCCGGAGAGCCGCCGCACAAGGTATCGCTCCCTGGACGAGCCCTCGGCACCGCCGCACGTCTCTTGGCAGGGCACCCAGCGCTCTGCGAATGAATTCACAGGACCTAAAGGCATCTTTAAGAAACACATGAGATCCTTGCAAAACACCTTCCCAAACCTGCACAGGGAGACACTGTCAGGAATAGAGTTTCTTAGGTCTGCCCTACGCAGGGCTGTGTTTCAACCATTGCAGGCTAGTCAAGACAAAAAAAAATACAATAAAGATATATGCAGAGGCACAGATAAAATCATACATTATATCATAAAATCGATCCCCTTGGTTATTTAAACCACAGTTGCTAAGAATTAAAACTGAAATTCAATTTTAACTACTTATGTACCAGGTAGCTTTCAAGCATTCTTAACTGAAACAAGGTGTAGCTTGGGCTTTAGTAGCTACAAATGTGCCCCTTTATTCGGAAAGGGACAGGTGACACCAAGGCCCTAAGGAAGCAGAGGTGCCAGGCTGCACACGAGGCTGAGTCCATGGGCAGGAATTATTTCCATTCCATCGGAACCATGAAGGTATCGACCAGGTGCTGGAACATGAGTATTTTCAAACAGGCTGAATCCCTATTACTGACCCTATCGCTATCTTATCATTAAGATGTAATTAATTAACAGCACTTCCCTTTTACTAACCTGTCTGGCACGGCCAGACACGCAGCCCACCCGGCACCCATCTCGAGAAGCGAAGACTGTCGCTGCTGCGGCCAAAAGGCCTCAGAGCGCAAGGGTTAAATCCCCGGCACTTCCCGCGCTTGCAGCCGACCATGTCAACATCTGGAGCTGGTTGACTTTTCCCCCCAAGGATTTGCAGCACTGTGCTGGCTTTTTTCCATAAATTCCCTACATTCTAAATCTATCAGATGTATGTCATACACACCCTGGTCCCCATGTTTCAAACTCTGCTGCACACTGGAAGACTCTGCAGGGTTTTGTTTCTTTCTCTTTTTTGATTTTTTTTTTCATTTATTCAATGTTTAAATATTTAGGGCCAAATTTGCTTTTAGTCACATGTACAGGACTCAGTAGGTTTATGTGAGTGTAAGTGAAGTAGGAAATAGCCATAAAGCTGAAGGGTATTTTAGAACCATTTGCCTCCATTGCAGCTAGATTTGCCAAGAAAATGACTTGCAAAGAACACCTACTGCTCTAAAACTCACACAACAGTGAAGCCCAAGGACGCAATTTAAAATTGGATTTGAACTAAAAGCCTATGATGGTGACAGTTCAACACCAAGCTTTCCTCAATTAAATACATTCTTTTAACTGCATAGCTCCTCTTATTATTATGGAACAAACAAACACAGAGATAACAAAGGACATAAACACGTAAAAAACAGAGAAACAGTTATTAGAAAAGCAAAACAAAACATTTTAAATGACAACATCTATGAAATCTCTCTCCTAAACAATTTATTTCAAATGAAGAAGCTAGCTGGGATTTGGCAAATCCAAGTATTTCAGCAAACAAAAACGCAGCTTTCCCCTGCAGAGTGTGAGAAGTGTCTATTACACCACTAATTCTGATCCTTCTGCCTTCACATCCGAGGAGGTCGTTTTCAGCAAGACAAACAACACTCCCCCCCTTTATTTTTTTAAATTAAAGGCTGGTGTAAGGGCTGCAGCACTGTTGCTTCTTGACACAATGTCACCAGTTTCTGCTCCCCATCTCTGCTACCAGGTCTGCATTTCACAGAATCACAGAACGGCTGAGGTTGGAAGGGACATCCAGAGACCACCTAGTCCAATCCCTCATCTCCAGCAGGGACACCCAGAGCACGGCGCACAGGGCGGCATCCAGGAGGCTTGGGAAGACCTCCAGAGACAAGGAAGCCTTTCATGGAGGGCACCTACTGCTGCCGCCACCGCTCTGTTCACCCCACTGTGCCCAGGGCCCGAGCTTGCTGTGGGGACGGGTTCCTCAAAGAAGGCTTAAATTGTAAGGGAGGGTTTGCAGAGATTTTACGTGCTAAACTCCACAACGCCCGCACGCAATTCATGGCCCTTCTAATCACATTCTCCCTTCGGAGCTTTAGGAGCCAATAGCAGCAAGTCCAGTCTTTAGTTCTCCAGTGCTTGTGTGGCAGCTGAACAGTTAAGTATTACAATTTGACAGACTTCTGCATCTGCTTTAAAAAAAAAGGAGACAAGGAAAAAGCTGCAAATTAGCAGCTTTTCACGTATCTGAAAGGCCTTGAAAAAAGGCAAAAGCTCCAGAAGGGGACATTGTACGCAAGCTCAAATGAAAATAACATTTTTTTAAAAATACTATTGTTTCCCACGTGATGCTCTAACATTCCCTTACAAACACTTTATTTTTAGAAGTTTCTGCTTTAGCTTTCTTGTCTGCTCCCACCTAGACATCAGTTTATCAAATTCTAGCATGGAAAGTTATATAAACTAATACAAATTTTCAGAAATACTACTTCTTGCAGTTCACTATTTCACAAAAACAGCACTTCAAATAACAGTATCCAAGTTTCTTCAGATTTTGTTTTTAACACAGGGGTCATTAACCAAGGCTCGGAGATGCAGTTACTGTATTTAAAGATTCTTCATTCATGAACCCGCAATACTAAACTCTTCTTAAGCCAGCCCAGCTGTTCTGCTTGCCAACCAAACCAGCATGCTACAAATATTTATGAAATTTCATGGTTTTCCACCGTGCCTGTGTCTCATGTTCACGGACTGTTTTGCTAAATGTATTAGCTAAGTACAAGGGAGATGTAACAGCAGTTCTCTGGTCCTTGGGAAACTATCTGTTCCACTAGAAACAAAGACGAGACGGAGCAGCGCGGCTCAGGAATCGCGGGGCGTTTCTGAGAGGGATTAATGCAGACACACGACGAGCAACCGACTGAAAACCTTCTTTGTCAAAATATCTGCATGAAGAATAACGTGTTCACGTCAGAGACAAACTCACCGCAAAGAGGACCTGGTTGTGCCTACACTAACTAGGCAAAGCCGAGCTTAAGGTACTTCTGCTCATCAACACACACACACGAGCTGTGTCCCTTCGAAGGAAATGGGAACTTGCACTTGGAGCTCTCACAAAACACAGCGTAGAAGCAATCGGGCTACAGTGAAAGTCCAACCTTCTCAAAGAATTATTAAATAAGGAAAACCTCAGTCTATCAAACTGCGCGACCCTATAAAAAGACCACTTTGGAAAAGCAGATTAACCTGTAATTACCAACAACAAAAGGAAACAAAAAAGTAGAGAACCCTTGAGGAAAAAGGCCCAGCATGTGATAAGCTCATTAAACACTGAGTTTAATGAAAACCCTATTGTGAGCAGCAGTAGGACATCTCCTGCCCCGCTGGCTGATTCCCATCACGTACAGCCTGGCGCAGGGTCAGCTCCCAGCGGAGCGCGGCTCCTGCCCGCCTTGTTACTGACCTGCTCTGTGGCAGCAGGGCGCTTCGCAGGACTCAGCCCTGGGGTTCCCGCAGGCATTCACTACCTCCCGCAAATTATATATATAATATATATATAAATATATATATAAAAGAGCAAATAAATAATTACTAATATAGTGAGATTAAAAGAAGCAGCTTGCTAAAGACACAGCAATTCAAGGGGAAACTTCATGATGAGTATTAACTGTCTTTAGGAAATGTAATATATATTTCTAAATTTTCCACTGCTGCTTTAACTTGCACAAAAAGATGCATCTCCGCAGGGACAGCAGGGCAAGACTCTTTTAACTGTAATTCTCAGCTGCTCTCTGTGTTATTAGCTTCCCAGAAAGCCCAGTCCATTCAGGGTGGCAGCTTCCGTACCTCAGCGCTTCATCCGCCACGTCCTTGAGCAAGCGGCAGTGAGCCCAGCGGAGCATCCAGGTGCGGGCAGCGCCTGGGACACGCACGCGGACACCACCGCTCTGCAGCACCCTAACTGCAACAGCTTCCCTCTGCCACACAAGCGCCTTTCCACCTGCTGAGCGATGCCCGCTTCTCCTCCTCGCTCGCTCCAGACTGGAGTGAAACATCTTGCTGTGGATGCCCCCAACTCCAGAAGCGCCGGCGCTCGGAGGGGCGCACGAGGGAGCTAGGGCGGCCCCGCGGGAAAGATGGGGCAGGGGCGGCCCGGCGGGGCGAGCGGCGCCTCCCGTGGGGCGGGCGCGTCCCGCGTCCCGCGCGGCCCCACGGCGCGGCGGAGCGCGGGTGGCGAGCCCCGCCACGCGGCTTACCCGTGATCGTTAGGGTCCCCAGCATCTTCCTCTGTGAATCACGCCGATAAGAGGAGCCTTCCCTGGCGCCGTGCGGAGCTCGGCGCGCGTGGCCGGCGAGGGGAGGGGAGAGGAGAGGAGGGCGCGCGGGGCCGAGGGGCGCGCGGGGTCCCCGGGGCG